CACTCACCCTTTTTTATTCATTTACTATATCGTATAATAATGATAATATGATAATAACAATAACAATGAATACTCGATAACATATAAGCCGAGATTGCTAATTTTATTCATCGAGTTTGTTTACCTCGGTACGATTCGCCGCGTGCATTGTACAGGCATTGTCACTTTTTGACATTAAACCACTTGGAAAATAAAAATTTTTTTTTTCAAATGTCATTATTTTAATTTCTTCCACTGTAAAAAAAGTTGAAATAAAAAAATAAATTTAAATCGTTTTTTGATTTTTCACAGTGCACTTTTTAATTGTTTCTTGATTAAAAAAAAAAAGTTTCTAAAACTCTTCCTGTTTGATGAACGAATTGGAGCATTTAATTTACATATAAAGTTTGGTAAATTTGTTGAATTACCTGTTACACAGCACTTTAAAAGTTTATAAGTTAATAAAGTTATTCAACCGAATATCCTTTGACAGTATATTACTGAGAGCTTTGCAAAGTGTCTCGCGCAAGTGCTGTACTAAAGTTTTAACACGAAAATCTAGATACCATTCTGCTACGTGAATGTAATTATAGAGAAATACATTTTAGATAAAGAAGAAAAATTTCAACTGCACAACATGCGCTTAGTTTATTTATTTTTATCTTAGTAAATTAATTTAATCATCAAATCTTCATTGTTGGACTCAAGTACAAGCTAAGAAAAATAATAATTTCATTTTTATTAGAAAAAAAAAATTTATCTCATGATTTTATATCGAGAAAAATAAAAATTTCGAGTAAAAAAAAATTTTTGATAATTATAAAAAATATATTTTCTTGTATAAAAAATTAATCAAAGTAATTTTTTTCCAAAAAATTAATAAATTTGAAAAAATTCTTGAGCGAAGAAATCCTTTTAAATAATTTTTCTTTCTCTCAGTGTATTATTACGCAGTGACTGATTTTCTGTGCCTATTTCGATATTACATTTCTCATGCGGGCTGAATAAATTCTCCGTAGAAGACTAGTGGTTAAGCTCAGGATCAATTTCGACAATTTATCTTTTCCGCTAATACAGAATAATCAATCTCTAAAACTAACTTTCAATGAGGGTATAACCTCTACATAAGATTTTTATTTGTGAACTTGATCTACGATCGTTAATAAGACATGTGTCACCACTTTATTCCACACATATGTACCTTTTACTTTATGCCTTCGACATAAATCACACTACGCTCTTTAAATTTTTATTCGTTTGTAAATAGACATCAATTATTTTTTATTAAATACCTTACTAACTTTTTTTAGTAATTAACCTTATAGAATTCTTGCAAAAACTTGTTGTTTGTCATTAAATAAATACTAATTACGACCATTTCTATGGAATATTTCAAGGCTTATTTAATAATGTTTTATAAAAAATAATTGTTAATTAATAAACAAACAAATAAAATTTTTTTTATTAAAAGTCAATTGATTTTTTTTCAAAAAATAATTTTAAATAAAAAAATTATCTTAAAAAAAATATACAAGCGGAATAATATTTTAACTGAACTTTTAACGGGTTGCTTAAATAAATTAAAAAAAAATAATCTTATCAACGCATTTTAAACAGATTGCTCAGCGCATTAACGAATTATTGAGGATAATTATTGAAGTGTCAAATGCTCTTTTATAATAGAATTTATATATTTATAACAGAGGAACATTTCATATTTTTTTTTTCCTAAAGACAAACTTTCTAAGCTATTTAATTAATTCAAAATCGCGTTCGTTTATTTAACGTCAAAAACTGACCTACTTTTTAAACTGTTTTTTTTAGTATAAATTCATTTTGATTAAATTATATCACAATAGAACACGGATCCTTTGTGCGTTTGTCATCTCAAATATTATTATCTAGGAGATTGTATCGAATGCTAATACAAGCGACTAATTCGCCTCAATGCTTCACTATTTGCAGTCAAACAAATATGAATAAAAAAAAAACAATCACTAACAAAAACAAAAAAAATAATAATACAAGTCCGCAGGATATCTAAGTGATAAAAAATAAAATATTTCAACTCGGCTAGAATGACAATAAACTAGTCGGAAGATAAGTAGTAAAAAAAATTCAACCCAAAGAAATTTCTTGCGCTCATTTTTTCCAACGTTTATTTGCGAGGATCCTGAGCGAAATGTAGTCGTACTAAAGTCTCTATTTAAATTGCAAGAACATTAAATTTTACTCTTTATTTATCTCATAATTGTTTATAGAGTTGGAGTGTAAAAATTCCATCACAATAAAAAATTTTTTCCAGATAAAAAATGAAAAAAAAAAAAATAAATTTCAAATGAAATTTTTAATTTTTCTAAAAAATTTAATGCAATTGACTCTTACAAATTAGTTAATAGGAAATTTAATATTGCACGAGATTTTATGAATATTTTCTTCATTTATCACAATTTCATTGTACATTGTATCCTACCAACAATAGGATTCAACATGAATAGTGTCCTTTGAGACTCGTTGTTCAGTCTGATACACTAAAAGAATTTTTTTAATAAAAATATCAAATAATACGATATTTTTTCTGATTCAAGCTCGAAAGAAAAGAGTAAAAAAAATAACAAAAAGATTAAATTTAATAAAAATTATTAGTGGAAAATCTCCAGTGGAAAATATTTGCCAAGTTTCCACGTGGGATGTCTGCAGTTCAGGGTAATAAATAATAATAAAAAAAAAAAAAAAAAAATGAATATAGTAATAGTAATGTAAAAAGTAAGCGGTTTAGATAAGAAAAAATAATTGTACAGAGAGAACGTAACACACTTGCACGTACGACGCGTAAAACGCGACTGAGGCGGAAAGTCGCGAGTAGGCAAAGCCGCGCGAATCCTGATACTGCACTCACCATTCACCACTCACCACCCGCCACTCAACGCAGTTATCCACGGATAAAGTCGGCAACGGACAGTGCGATCTGAATGTCAAAGAACTGAGCCAACAACTATTGTCAACTGGGTAAAAGTGTACCAAGATGCTTGCTGGTAGTCTTACTCAAACTTTTGCGCATGTCCTATTTTTTTTATTTATTTTTTGGTTTTTAACATCCGAACTATTAGTTGATTTTCTGATTGTCAATTTAAGGGCTTTTTATGGTGAAAATTTTTATAGTAATTGGTAAATATTGACATTTTGTACTAAGATTTTAAACGTCAAATAGCATACAACAAATACGAAAGATTTGAAAGCTTTCAGTTAGAGTGTCTCTTGATAGAGCGCCAAGAGACATTTTATTTTGAAATTTTGTCAAAATTTATAACAATCATTTGACAGGCACTTAGGAGTCAACAATTATGCCGAAATGGAGTTTCATTTATTTTTAGGCATAAAAAAAATAAAATAATTGACATTTTTAATAGTATTTTTCTTACCTGGGGCAGGAAAATAAGAAATGTCTCAGATTACATGTAATTGTTGACCGAGGCGAAGCCGAGGTCGACAAACATGTGATCTGAGGCTTTCTTATTTCCTGTCCGTGGTGAGAATACTATTTTTCTCCTCGACGGAGGCGGAAAGCGGCATTTTCGTTTAGCGCAGCGAGCAGAAAATTGACGCTTTCCGCACGGAGGGGAGAAAATATTTTTTTATCATTCTTCAAGTAGAAATTCAGAAAATAAAATTTTCATATCGAATTCTCATCTCTAACTTACAAAAAATATACTTTTTTTTTTGTTTTTATTATTAAATTTTAATTAAAAATTAATCTATAAAAGACAAAAAAAATTTAATCTCGCAAAAAATGATTTAAATATTTTTTTAAATTTACAAAAAATTGAAAAAAAACCTTTTTTTTTTTGTATATTTAACTTTCTTTTAGTATTTTTAAGTACTTAAATAATTTATTTTGCAAATTCTGAACTTTACAAATTTTGTCTAACAATTATTAATTCGACTCACAGCTGAATAAAAATGAAATTAAACTTAAAGACGTTAATTTTAAAATAAATTGTTGATAAATGCATTATAAGTTTCTATCAAAAAATTATCTACTTGATATTGAATTAATACAGTAATTTTTATTACTGAAGAATACAGATTTTTATGAAAAAAATTTGAATACTCTGGAATAAATGATTTAACATAGACTCCGTGAAGAGAGACGGAGAAAAATAGAAACAAAAAGCAGCCCGTGTGCAAGTATAATATGATATTTATTGAAATAATAACTTAATATTACAAAGAGCGGCGCGTATAAATGTTTTTGAGCGCAATTCAGTATATTAATTAGCTCAAAACCGTTTTCGTATGTGAATGAATGACGAATATGAATGAGGTCTAAATTCACAGTCGTTTATACGCAACCATGGTTACCATATTTGTACATCGGTGACTGATATAATAGAGTGTATTTTCGTGTGTCCGCATGCTTTTGAATACATTTACCAGTGCATAACTATTACATTCTATTATTTGTTGGCATGTGGACAATTATTTTAGAATTGTGATGATAGTCGTGCGAAACAATTAAATTAATTGATAAGTATTGTAAAATATACATTAGTATTTAATATTTAGAAAAACAAAATGTCATTTGGCCACAATTGAGGTAAATAGACAAAATTTTTAGACGAATATGATAAAAAGTAGAATTTTTAATTAATTTTTCACTATAATAAAAAAGTTGAATTTTGAAAAAAATTCTTGAACAAAAAAAATTAATTTAAAGAGCTTGATTGTTTTAAATTAAGACGAAAAATTCTTGAACTACAAAAATAAATTCTTCAAAATTTAATTATTTGAAGATAAATGTCCAAAATATATTTTTGAAAAATTTTTTCAAGCTAAAAAAAAGATTTAAATAAATTATCAAAAATAAGATTAATTTATTAGATTTGAAAATATTTTTAATAGAAATTTTTTTTGGTTATCAAAGAATTAAAAAAAAATAGATAATTTTTTCATGAAATATGTGATTGCTTATTTAAAAATACAGTTTTTTTCAATAAAACAATTTCCATAAAATTTTTCATCACAACAATAAACTATTTCCTCCAAATTAAATTAAAAGTAATAAATCGTAGCTATTTAAAGTCTGCCGGAATAATTTATTATCTCAATTTTTCTCTACGTCCTCAGTTACTTAAAAAATGAAACTCGCTTCACTCAACAACCCGTTACACAAATTAATTAAAATGTTCAAGTCGCCGTACTAATTAACATTTAAACTGAATTATAAAACCTCAGTAGATTAATTGAAAACTAATTAATGAAAATTAAATGAAGAATTTCAATTATTGGTTGAACTTTATCAGCAAATTTGATTAAAACCATTTTTTTAATTAAAATATTACAATAGTAGTAATTGTTTCTTCCAATTGCAAACTTTGGAGAGCCATGAGTATTTTGTAGTGCAATCAATTACCGACAAATTAATCAATGCGTTGGAAATTGAAGTATATGGATCCCATCACGTGCGAAGTTGATTTAACTAATTTGACAGTAATTTAAAATTGGGTCAGAAAATTGCTACGCGACTGTGAAATTGAAAATTTAACAACAAACAATTAAAAAAAATTTTTTTAATTAAAAAGCTTACTCTAAATATTTTAATTAAAAATTAACCATGCAAAAAAAATTTAGTAAAATTAATTGCAAATTTCAGTAAGTATTTTCAATTATTTATAAACTAATTTTAAAAATGAATTTTAAAAAAATCCCGCTTATTTTCTAGTGCTGCCATCTGCAAAAAATAACCACGAACTTTGATACCAATTTGACGGTTTGATTCTCTCCTTTATCATCCATAAATCCACGTGAAGTTTAATATTCTCCGAGTTGGGTACATCGTTACTTTTAGGATTCCTCATTTTGGCGCACAACTAGTACAGGTAATAAATCATTATTAATAAAATAATTAACAACAAGTCAAGCCCGTAAATCACTAATATCCTGTTTTGTACCATAGAAAAATTTTTTTTCAACTATTAAAAATTATTTATCCATTAAAAAAGGCTGTAATCTCAGTTGGAGGTCACGATAATTTTTTACCGTTTAATTTGGCTGATATCGAGCAACGTGCTTTCTTTGTTACTATCCCAAGTATAAGTACTTGGATAATATATTTAAGCTAAGCATTTATTCCAGAATATTTTAGAACTTTCTAATTCCCAGCTGTGTGATTTTTCTTACGTAATAAATTATTTCCTCAATAATTATAATTTACAATTAACAATCCATGCTCCAATACAGGTTATAACTTGCTAGCAAAAATTAACTAATTACGTTTTCATGATTTAGGTAGACCAAGATGCCATCAGACGCGAAAAAGAAGCAGCAAGCCAAGAAGAAGGAAGCAGCTAAAGCTAGACAAACTGGTAAAAAACCAACGTCAACCAATCCTACTAAGGAGGATGGAAAGGAGCAGACTAATGCATCAGCTAATGACGAGAACGGAACTAATGGAGTACTGAGCGCCGAAGGTAAATTATTATTTTTTTTTAGTGTTTTTATATCAGTCATTTTCGCTTCAAGTATTACGGTGATGATTCATAAAGCTTATCATGATAATTAATTTAAATTGATTGATAATTTTATTCTAATTATTTTTGAGCTTCACCGTTCATCATCAATACTCACTTGTGAACAATGAATAAATAAAATTTTGCTTTATTAAATAATGAAATTTGTCAAATTGCACTGTACTTTCTTAACTATTGACATTTATAAAAATATAAGCTCATCCCGATGTTACAATCATCAAGAGCTTTCATTTGAGTACCCACATGCATTTTGATATATTTTTCATATATATATATATATAAATATATGAAAAATTGATGTAGGTACTCAAATGAAAGGTCT